TATGCCAATCGTACTTACTTAATGGCGAAGCATTTGAAACATATTCGGCATTGGTATTTCTTTGCACGACTTGGTTCCAACGCTGACGTTGTCATTAAATCTACCACATGCGCCGATGAACTTATATCAGCCGCAATCCCTTGTGCAGAATCATCTATAATAACGCCAGACTTGTCGTTCAGTGGGTCATCATCTATATAATCGAGCAGAATATTTTTATTGTCACTTTCCTCTATATTTGCCTCGCGGTTCGCGCATGACATGGCAGAGTCCACTCGAACATAGTCGTTTAAGTGTTTCTTCATATGTTCTTGCAGAGAGTTTTTGTCAGCTAATACCTCCTTGCAGATGGCACAAGTTATTATCTCCACATCGCCTTCTTGTGATTTAATTGTGTGTCTTTTAAGGATGTGAGTCTGGAGGAATATAAAATGCAAGAATTTTTCGACAATATCTACTTTATATATTTTGTAATCTTACCTTTAAACCGTCCTTCTGTCGAAAGAGAGCTCCACACTTTTCACATGGAAATGGTTTTTCGCCGGTATGTCTACGCATGTGGAACACCAGACTCTTGCATTGCGTAAAACCTCTATGACAAACTACGCACTGGTATGGCTTTTCACCTGTATGGGTGTACATATGCTGCTTTAGTGACACATTCTGGGTGAATGTTTTATCGCAAATATGGCATTGAAATGCTCGATTGCCTTCATGTGTTGCCATATGTCGGTTGAGATTGGTTTTGGTGCTGAAGTCACGATTGCACTTAAAGCATACGTAACGGTTTGATGTGTTTAGTCCCTCGCCTTTTTTTGCAATTCGAGTACTGGAACTGCGATTATTCGTTCTGTTTTGGGTTTTCCGTGTTCTGCCTTTAGCTTCTTTTTCAGTAGCTTCAATGTTCTCGGTTGTAGACTGGGCTTGTTTTGATGCATCGGCGTCATGCTCTTCGACAATATTTTCCTGTTCAATTGATTTCATGTGAACCTCTGTATCTTCCAATATTTCTTCATCTGCACCAAACGAATGCATTTCATTTGTTTTGCTATCCATCGAATTGTTATCTTCTAGGTAATCATCGGCATCTTCAAGCATTGCTTGATATTCCTTAAAAAATCCACCACTTTTTCGCGATTTCTGGCCAACGTCATTACTGCTGTGTATATCATCACTTGGTTGTAGATTTTCTTCCAAGACTTCTAACTCCGTTTGTGACTCATCATCGGTGAGGGCTAGTATTTGTATCTCGTGATCAGAAGAATTTTCATTTTGGAGATGTTCGCTCGAAAGAGGTTGCATTTCCACAATTTCGGTTAAATCTGCATCCCCTTCAACATTGAATTCGGATATGCGCTCTTCTTCTTCTGGCCCTCTTTCTATTTGCTCCTCCGACTTGCATGGCTCATGAGTTTCTACATCATTGTTCGAATTTTGCCTTTTAACTTGTTTCAACATGTTGCTGCCTACATTTTTTATCGCAAGATCGGATTTTAGATCGTTTGACGATGCTTGGGATTTCTCTCTGGCAGTATTTTTTTTCTTACTGGGCAGTTGGGATGGGCCAGTGGTGTCTTTATACTTTGGCTCGGAAACTTGCTCCGAAGTAGGTTCGTCACTAATCCCATCCTTACTTTCATCTTGAAGAATTGTCGAAAATAAATCGTCATCATCCTCATCTTCTCCGTTGACGTTATTTGAATTGTTATTTGTTACCAACTGAAAGTCTTCACTAATCTTGATTAGAAATGCTTTTAAATTTTTCTCAGATTCATGGGCTAGCTTAACGAAATCATGAGATATATACAGGCGCTTCAAGCATTTGCCACAAATTATGGAGGGCAAATCATCATTCCCGTTGAGCTGGAAGAAACGTAAATAAGAAATGTTATCATCTCTTCAAACACAAGTATGCACTATATATAAAATTGAGGGAGTATACAAAATTTATATTCTGATATAATAGACACTCGCTTATGATGTCGAGTCAACTATAACCGGGTTGCACTGTATGTATTTGTTGTACCCCCACCCCCATATATTCCTTATCGCAGTACAATGCAGTATAATTCTCCAATAATAACAATCATTGCATCTTATGTGTACCTATATCATTGATAATAAACATGACCTGTGATCCAAATTGAAGAGACAAACACAAAAATAACAATTAAATAGGTATGATTTATTTTTTAAGTTTACAATACACATCGCAATGCGTTTACGATTTCTAGCACGTAGTAATTCACTTCTTATCTGGCACAGTCTGCGCAATCCAGCTCAGGTATGGTACATTGCCTTTTTCAATGGGTAAAGTTATAACCTCAGCTACACTGTACGAATGATTCTCACGCACGAACTTGATCAAGTCATCTAAACGGCTGGTCCGTGTTTTGATCATCATCAAAGATTCGCTATCCTCATTCACTTTTCCTTCCCACATGTAAATGGACTGTATTTGAGGAATTATGTTGACACATGCGGCCAATTTCTGCTCCACCAAACTCTGTGCTAATTTTTTAGCCAACTTGTCATCTGGTGTCGTGACAAAGGCGACCGAGCTGGTGCCTGCAGTATACGAATCTTCATTGGAATCACTCATATTTTTACAACTTGTAGATAAAGTACGACCGCAACTTTCGTCGACTCTGCCTTCTATCGAGCCCTTGGTGTTCAATATATTAATAGCGGCAACAAAGGTTACAAGCAGCTTACGCGATGTAAAATAGGTTGGCAAATAGCGGACCGAGAATAGTGAACGCTTGAATATAAGCATTTGCAGTGCGCTTATATGTAGACAAAGTTCAGCTTATACAGTCCCTTAAATAGCTTTTTAATGCCGGTCTTTTTGTTTATGTTTTATACACTAGATTATTTATGCCGATTGCATTCGTCGTTGATATATCAAAAATGCAAGCATGTACATATGTGTGTATATATATACATATGTATATATATAATTTTTGTAGCAGAACATACAAATGTATTTATTTAAGTACTGTGCGAACATCTGGACATATGTGAGTACGAATATTTATGAAAAATGGCAAAATTACTGTAGCGCATATTACTAAACTCAAGCTTTTTATAACTCCGCACAAGTTTGTTACACAATTATTTGTCATTAAGAAATCTGTTTTATAGAATTTGCACTGGGTACCTGTACCGAGTACGGAACGTATTCCCTTACCTCAACAGCACTAATTATTACTAGTAAAAGAGCACCCATCGCGGCCATGTTCTCTAGTACAGTTCCGATTTCGTGTACTAGAATAGAAAGTTTTAATAAACAAAATATATTTACCTTTAAGCGCGTTGTAAACACAAACTTTTCACCCAATTCCTTGTCTTCCAATAGAGATACGCCATCATCTGACTTCATGCAGATACGACAAACGTTTATATTAACGCGAAAATTCATCATTTCAATCAATAGTTCAATCAATCGCTGCACAAATAGCTAAATAATTACACATCGACTTGAACTATCAAAAAGCACGACTGCGCCCCAAAAAACAACAACAAAAATATCAGATCACCAACACTTCCATTTTCACTAGTTTGACAGTTTACTAACACTGCCAAGAACCAAGCCGAATTCATATAAGGTCGCGTCACCCATGACAAAAACATTACAAGGTAAATTCATTCTCTCCTTTCGTCGGCCATATTTTTTTCTGACGGTTGCAAGCAATTTAAAATCATATAAAAGGTTCATTCCTTATCTTTTTGGACTAAAATCTGAAAAGTGTCAAAATGCCAGAGCGTAGGCAAAATGCGCTCACTAAAAAAGAATAACAGGAAAAAGTAAAGGAACGAAAAACCCAAATTTTTAGTCCAAGAATGCCAGCAACAAAACTAGCGTCAAATAAGAATAGAAATGTATGTACGAAACACATTCACATAAGCACAAGCACAATTAACACTTACTATATCAATTATTTTTTGCCTCCTTCCAATTTCAATTCACTTTTTTTACTTTTTAGATTATTGTCACTTTTTGCGTATTCTTTAATTTCCGTTAATTTAAATTCAGTTGAGTTTGACACTTAAAGATTTTGCCAGCAAAAATTCTTCTGACTAAATCTGACTACTTCGGACTGAAGAGAGTCACTCTCACTGAGTGTTGCTCTCTCATTTTTGCTGTAATTTTCGAGTTAAGGAACGCTTTTTGGATTAAATCTGACTACTTCGGACTTTTTCTGACTATTTCTGGGAGATAAGGAACGCAGCTAAAATTGAAAACAAGAAAATCAAATTGTTCACAATTGTTTGAGATTGAAAATGAGAATGTGTATGTGAGTTCAAATTTTGAATTTTTAAATTATATTGCTGGCAAACGTCAGACTGCCTCTCAATTACCAAAAGGTATTTAACAAAGTGTGATTGAATTTGACATTGCCTTCAGAAGAACCATCCTATAAAGTCAAATTGATTTTTTTTTTTTATTAATTTCTAATCGTATGTTTATATTTTTTGGCATAATAGTACCTGAAAAGAGAGGCGACCTGAGTTGTAAAGCACACCTTGTTTAATACCCAGCGGCGCATATGCACATTACGTAATCGAATACTCCTTCAAAACTTCGAAGGCGGTATATCGGAATGAATGGATTACAACCCAGATTACTTTGCCATAAGTATGGCCGCTTTGTGGTTAGCGTCCTTTACATATTGGTTTTGTTTGTAATCGGAAAGTATGATGTGCCCGAATACTGTTCGGGCGTTTATTACAATACGTCTTCGTTGGTAAATTGTAATGTACATTGTAAGCAGACTGCCTACAAAATGCATTGCAATTTTAAATTGGGTCAGCGGTGTTTTAATCATTTATTTGTATGAATTACGCAACGCATATTGTGGGCGGACCCCATTTAGCAGTGCGCCGCTGGGTACACCTTGTCAATTACTACGTTAGTGCGGCAGAATTCATCTTCATCTCATGAATTCAAAAATGGTGCTGTTATAAATTAACAAATTATTGAAATGAAGCGTTTTGAATAAGTGTTAGCGCACTAGCGAAAAACCAAAACAGTAGGATTTTGGTATTTCTGTCCTTATTTTGAATGTGCAAAAGCCGTATTTAAACTAGTTTTAATTTATTTGAATTTCTTCTGTTTGAATTTATTTTTTATATGAACAAATCCACGTAACTTTTTTAGTGTTTAAATCATGGCTATGCCACTACATCTTTTTAAATTTAAAAACGTCATAACCCTAGTAAAAAGCTGTTTTTGAAACGCGGCGTTGAAGGACTAGCACTTCCCGAGTTCATGAAATGATTCCGAAATAGATGAGTAGGGTAAGCACTGTGACCAGTAGAAAACGCGCTATCTCAGAAAACTTTTCAAAAACGCCCTATTTCAGAATGTGATTGAAAAACGTACAATCTCAACAAGCTTTTGAAGAACACCCTATATGAGCATTCGGTTTGAAAACGCCCTATCTCTGCTGCCGATTCAAAAACGCCCTATCTCAGCATATTTCTGAGATAGGGGCTCCTTGAACATTTTTCTGAGATAGAGCAATTTCCAATCAAATTCTGAAATAGGGCGTTCTTCAATCAAATTGTGAAATCGGGCGTTCTTGAAAAGTTTCCTGACAAAGGGTATTTCTGAACTGGCTTCCGAGATAGGTCGATCTTCCACTCAGCAGTCGGTATGTGATGTTCATGTCTTCAAGTTTGATATTTCTGTTTTGTTGTTTACATCTCTTTCTTCATATGTACATATTTTGGCGGAGGTTTATTTCAAAATTGAAAGTGAATTGGAATTGTCAGTAATTGTACATTTTTTATTCAAATATAAATAAAATCAATAATTTGCTTTACATCATTACACAAATATGCACTCAAAAGTTACTTTATTTTTCTCTTTACGCCTCGACCTTATATTCTGCGTTTACTTTTGATTCCCTTTCAAAACATTGGCTTCAATTCGCTCGCAGGTATGGGTTGTCAAAAATCACAACTGAAAAATTATAAAAAACGCACAACTTTCTATACGCAAAGAGTCACTTCTTACAGTATGAGCAGCTGCTGAAATTAAACGAAATGTGTGGGTTTTGGTAAAAAGTGAGTATGAAATTTTAAGAAATTTTTAACCAGTCAACCTGTAGTTAGTGTCGATTGGAAATAGAGTATTAGAGTGATTAAAAAGGCATCTTAAAAAGCAAAATTATGAAATGGCAACAATGTAATATGACATGCTTCGAAACGTCAAAATCTAGAAAAGAAAAACAAATAAAACAGATGGAATTATACTCGAAGAGGACAAAAGAAACTACAATAAAAAAGGTGTAGGGTATCGAAATCTTATTTGTTGACAAAGCAAATTTAATTAATTTAAAACGAAATTGTGCAAACGTAATAGAGAAGGCAACAGATTCCAGATAACTTGTACGTAGCTCAGCTTCGTTCGTATTTCAAGGCGTAAAAATGCCTGTGAATAACACTAGTTCAAATTTCAAGACTTTTAAAGTTGTGCTACTTGGTGAAGGTTGTGTTGGTAAAACATCAATAGTTCTACGTTACGTCGAGGATAAGTTCAATCCTCAACATATAAGCACACTGCAGGCATCATTTCTCACAAAAAAACTCCATTTAGAGGATGGCTGCCGAGCACATCTCAACATTTGGGATACTGCTGGTCAAGAACGTTTTCATGCGCTTGGACCTATTTACTACCGTGGATCACATGGTGCCATACTCGTTTACGACATTACCGATGAAGACTCCTTTCAGAAGGTGAAAAATTGGGTAAAAGAGCTCAAACGTATGCTGGGTGCTGAAATCGTCATAACAATCGTGGGCAACAAAACTGACTTGGAGGCACAGCGCAATGTACCACAAGATGTTGCATTGGATTATACAGAAAGTGTGGGCGCACACTATTTCGAGACATCGGCCAAAGCCAATGAGGGCATCGAAGAGTTATTCACAGCGTTGACACAACTAATGATACAGCGCCATGCCCAACGCGAACAAGAGACTAGTTCATTACGACTAATGCAGGGAGGACGTACGTCACAACGTTTGGTAGTTGAGGATGATTCACAGGACGGCGATGAAGAAGGGGGACAACCACCTGCGGCGAATCGATCATGCTGTGGGGCCGGTTAAAATAGTGTGAGATGTAATTGCATTAAAAACACCCAACCCAAACAAAGGAACGGCAATTTGTAGAAGAGGATAGTAGTAGTATGTAGAAAAATTTGGCGAATGGGCGTTTAAAAGCAAATATTGAACATAGTGAACTGAACACGACGATATAGACAACGCCAACGCCGATACAGCCGCCGCTAGATTAAATTGTGATAAACTTATTATAACGTGTAAATTTAAATATTTTTTGTATAAAGCGCTTTAATATTGTATTCTTCTCTTATGACATAATTCCATTCTACTTCCTTCGAACAAAAAAAAAGTTTACATAAATCTAGCGAACTTACTATCTACTCATATTACATTTCAGTTTTTTGTTAGTTTTAAAGCCCTATTATTTGTTGTTATATTATAATACAATTAAAGTTTTCTGCTTTGAATTGCAGCAAAAAAATTGTGAAAGACTTAAAAGCACTTGACACTTTTATTATTGAATGATTCATGCAAAAGTATCCATGCGCTTATCTCAATCCTTATCACGTGTGAATATACATACATACATACATATGAGCCGTTTATTTTGAAAGTGGCATAAGTTACTTTTCATACCTCTTGTGATTAAATGACCAGTTACTTGTATCTGAACGCGTTAGTTATTAGTTCAACTTCATCAATCCAAGTTAGACGGTTTTATAGTTAGTTTATTGTGATGGAGCGATTTACAGATGCATTCGGTAACAAGTAGCCGGTAATCGAAGAGCAAGAGGTACAAAGTGACTTATGCCACTTTCAAAATAAACGGCTTACATATACATACTTGCGAATTTTGAGGGCTTGAAAAATGTCAGTAATCTGAATGTCTTTACATGCCGTATTGATTGCAATGACATATTCACGGCGAAAAGTTTGCTGAGGTTTAAAAAGTTTTGCCCACTTAAATGTTTAATTGCTCAAGTAATAATTTAGTAAAATTACAAACTTGCAGCTTTCTTATTGTTGTACATAATATTCGTAACATAGGTAAAATATTCCTCACAAGTTTTTGAAGTATGCTTCTGAAATGAATGTCCTATGTGGAAAGAATTTTTATGTAATAGGTCGCTTACCGCAAATGTGCAAATACCAGACGGACTTTTGGAATACTGCTGAAGTAGCCGTTAGTTATAAATCTGGGCTTTTGTGGTTGTGTAACATCACAGTTTTTGGGGATCGCCGTTGGAGTAAAAGTGCTTGACCAGCCATAAATCAAGTCGTTCCTGTTAGGTGGATCCTACTGTGGCGGGATTTAAGGGCTGTCATTCGTGTAATAGCACAAAATATTCGCAAAGGTTCCTTCGCCAAATATAGTCATGATGGTTACGTCGACCTGACTGTCGTGGAATTTTATGGTTGTTATTTTGTAATGGTTCTGAGCATAGGTTTCGCCTTAAGACTTTTATCATACTCTTCATTTGTATAAATAGGTCCGATCACGAAATCCTTAAATTATATACAAATTTAGTTAAAGTCGAAGTAATAATGTAAATCCAAATCAAACTTTATTGAAAGTACTGCGACTACGAGTCTGTAGAATATTACAACAATTCCAAACAAATACGCGAATTCACAATTCACAGAATCATTTTGGCGTATAAAAATTAATATCAGCTCTAAGCAGAACTGGGCTCGAATCGTAACATCCGTTCACGGATCGAAAACCATACGAAAGAAAATTACGTGATACCGTCAGTCGTAGAAGCTGAATGGGATAAAGAGTACGCTCACGTATGTCATAATCCGAAACAGGCGTTTTTACGAGTAATACGATATCGTATGTGACGATTCGAGCCCTGATTTCTCGATTACTTTAATCGTAATCATGAACTGCATGAATGCAAATACTTTAATTATAATCCTAAAAACTTAATGATTACGACTTCTGTTATCGAATCCTAATTTTAACGATTACATACCATTTTTAGAATTACGATTATTGTAATTATAATCACAGAAAGTACGAGTACGATTACAGTATTCGTAATTGTTAAATTTTAAAGATTACATTAAAGTATTCGGAATCAAGCAAGCTATAATTACAGTTACAATAATCGTAATCCTAAGTAATCAAAATGTAGTCGTAATCATAAAGTGCCCAGCTCTGGTTAGAAACCGGCCATTTTATTCGATTCAATTAGAAGCGAGTAATCATTCGATCAGGAGTGTCGCGATTAGGGTCCTGTTTACATTCCTTCCTTCAGATATGAGTGCTTAATTGTTAGCATGACTCATCCTGCTAAATTGTGCAGTAATGGAGTAGATATTAAACAATGGCTGGTGAAGTCTGACATTTTTCCGTTTTCAAAAATTAACTTCTTACGACTATGTTAAATGAATATCGAATAAAACACACTTTTAGCAGAGTCTACAAAAATATCGTGTGTTTATTATTATTGTATACATACATATTTATAAAATCCAATTTTATATTCAAATTTTACCTGTTTTTCCATGGAACAAATTCTTCTGTTTACTCTTAACTACACTTAATAGTATAAAAAAATCATACATATGTACTTAAATATGTATATTTACTTCAACTTTTATGTTAAATATAAAAATTGAAAGACTCAAAAGCGAACATTTGAATAAAGTAAAGATTTACTAAATTTCAAATCCTATATTTAATGTATGTATATTCCTACGAACTCACTACATATTTAATTATAGCTGTATGTATGTAGGTATGCTAAAAATATTTTTTACAGTTGTACATTGCAAACTTGCTTAGTTTAGTTTATTACCGGTTGGAGTTGTGATCATTGACTTTTTAGCATTTTTTTTTTTTGTAATATTTTTGTAAATAAGATTTTCTTCGATTGTTTTAAATTACTAAATAGAATTGTAGAAAATATCTTAATCACAGAACTACATCAGATTGTCATTTTATGGGCGTACTGATCGTCAATGAGTGACATTACAATGTATTTAAAAACAAAACTACATACGTCCAATATATACCTTTTTGGACTTCAGGCTGAATTTTCACTTTGACAGAGTTAATCGTTCTACTACTCCAGTTCTACTACTGACTGCCTTTCTCACAAATCTTACTTAGTACGATCATGCTTCGAAGGTTCCACCTGCTTGGCAAATTCACTCATCACATCTTTGTAGATGGCAGGATCCAAATTGCGACCCAACATGTAGATAAGCCACCAATCGCCAATGTCTAGTTTGCGCGAGAGTGAACGACAGATTTCCATAGGTACCATACGATTGCGGGCATTGAGTAGGCGAGGTCGGAATTTCGGCATGAAGATAATGCAGGCGCTGATGACACAAAAAGCAAAAATTATTAAAAAAAAAATAGTTAAACAAATATGTAGATAGGTCAAAGTGCAACTCACCGGAAGATCAATAGACCAATCAAAAGCGCCAACATGATCATGTACCAGAACCAAATGAATACATAAGTCTTCTCATTTACAATATTAAGCGGCAGTATGCAGAGTGAGTCGTGCTTCTGTAGCGAACCGGAAGCACCATATTTATGGAAGATACACTTGGTGACACGCGGGAATATGTAAACCATGGGATCGATACGTTGTTCCTGCGGCACATCGGATAATTGCATAATACGTGTGCCATAGGACATGAATTCACCATCGAAGAAACGATTCATCAAATACATTTGAATGACAATATTGATGAAGCATAATGCCTCGCAGGCCCAATAACGGATAGCATAGAGTTTATGACGCTGTGGTTGCAATTTAGAAATAAAAAATAAATTTAGTGAATGTTATACAGAAAATAAATGCATAAACCTTACCTTCACGTGCTTGATTAGGTAGTCCAGCAATGCGTCACGTTTAGCTTCCTTCTCTTCACGTGTGCAAATCGTCAGATTTAGACCCATGACGATCATGCGCATGAGTCCGCCTTCGAATCTGTCCCACAAGAATTTGGGTGTGTAGCAAGCAATGGCCTAAAAATATGCAGAAAAATTACGTGAACGTTAGTCGGTGATTTTAAAGTGTTATGCGAACTTAAAAAAGTGCTTATAATTATAAGTAGTTAATAACACTTTATTTTATTTTTTTTTGTATACTTATTATGTACCATAAAAGTTGTATTAATGGAAATTCTAGGCCATTAAAAGCTTGCCTTTACTCAGCCCGTTGCAGGCAACCGCAAACCACATTACTCGTATTCAATTGCGACACTAGCTAATCACTTGGCTGTGTTGAATCTTTGCAGTCTTCTAGTAGACACATACCAAGACCAGTACTCTACTATGTTTGACACATCACAGCGCCATTGTGCTCCAAAACTGGTCATTGATCTTGCCATGTTTGGGCCGTGGCATGCTCGGCCAGACTGCTGTTTCACATTTCGTGGCTGCTATTATGGCATTGATTTCGTGATTTAAATTTTTTTCCTCTTACTTCATTTTAAAAGCAATTACAATCAAAACATGCATCGACTGACTGGTCACTTGTGTGCCTGTCCACTCACTAAGCTGGTTCGTTCAACAAGAGTTTGTCTGTTTTCGTTCGACATGCACGCAAAAGGCGGTGTCCCACAAACGAATGCCTAATAAATTCGGCTAACGTCTCGACTTTATCAGCGCATGAGTGTAAAATTAATTTTTGTGTGATTTCTTTTTTTCTAACTTAGTTTAGTCAGCTATGTAGTTATTTATGTAATTAGATTTGTTTCTATTTTAGGCATTTCTTTTCATTTGTTACTCAGTTTCTTAAACATGCTTGGAATTCGGCACAAGGAACTCGTGTGAAAATTTCTTTAAATTGGTGGCGGAAATATTTTGCCAAGTACTTGAATTGGGAAATTCCTTGTATACATACATATGTACTTAAGTATTAAGGATTTCCCTGTAGATAGTGTCAGGAGTTAAAAGCCCTACCTAAAGGTCTTCTTGAGAGGCAAGAACCCTTCCACCCTACATTTCTTCCTCACTTTTTGTATGAAGTGGCACAAATTGAAGGACTTCTGCTTTCGCTACCCATAGAGGACCTTCCAGAAGGCCGTACCTCAGAAGCAATTTTGGAGCAGTTCTTCTAAAGCTTCTTCTTTAATCCAGCAAAATCATATTTATTTAAGGTTCCTATCAATTATGTTTTATTGCAACTTAAAAAAAAAAAAAAAAATTGTTCCGACGAATTAATAACCTCCTCTTTTTTGAAATCGTTAAAAAGTAAAACATAAAATTAGCTTTATAGAAATTGTCAAGTACAAAGAGGGTGGAAAAATCTTAAATTTGCCAGTCTTTATTTTTTTGAGCACTCGCAAATCTTCACTTATTCGTTTCTGCACCTTAATGAATTTATTTTCGCTTTATTGCATGAAGATCACTTAATTGGCCAAGCAAGGCTACACAAAACTTAATTTTCGAAAAAAAA